TGAGAAGGGTGAATGTTGCTCCCTACCCATTCTTTCTATCCAGCTACAACTTTTAACATTCCTCCACTTTCTCACCCTATCTAAGCTTTTCATCATCAGCAGCCAGTCATACTAAAGTGAGATAAGAGAATTAAAGCTTTTTGTGATACATCATCATAAATGTTTGAGTCATTGTGGTCTAGTGATTAAAGTCTCCCTCTCTATTTTACATAGGCTTCTTATACTAGTATTTAAGCACTAAGATTCAAGAAATCTTGGTAAAAAAACCATACTTTTTTTTCCAAGTAATTTTTTCCTATTTTATTTCCATGCACCTCAATACGGCACTTCACTGTGATACTACATCCGCAAATCTCCAAACAAGTTGAGGAACGTAGTTCAGTGTTGAGCCAATTCTATGAAGGAAAGTGAAAAGTTAGGACAAGATTCTACCTTGGTGGTTAAACTGAACAAGTAAGGAAAAAAAACCAAGAACCAGCACTTCCACACTGCTAAATATAGCAAGTCTGTGCAAAAGCGCAGAAAGTTTCCCATTCAGACACACTGAGGATATCTCACTGGTTTTTGCACAGTGACTGGAGAGCAGCTGCTTAGCTGAGTCTCAAAAAAGTCCTCCAAATCTTCCTTGATTAAGGAGACAGTGTTTTCTACACTATTGTCAAGTTGCTAATTTTCAAGTTCATCTACCACCAGCAGAAATTTATTTTCCTTTTATACCAGAATGGACAATTCATTTGGCAAGCTCATCTGAAAGCAGATTAGAAGAGAAGACAAAGAGCCTATCCACTGCTGTCCACCCGCGCAGCCATCATGACTCAGTGCTGTTCCTACGCACTGTCCCCGACATTTCAGGCAGGGCTCAAAGCTCCTCCATCCCACCATCACTCCTACAGAGCTGTTCTGCCACTAGAAACAACTGCTCAGACCCAAACACCTCACGACACAAGGCTTTGGGCATAACAGCACTTAGGCAAACACTTCCAGATCATCTCGCGCATTTCAGTATTGGTAGTTCCTGTTAAGCTTTTTGTCTGATCAGAAAAGAGACAACAGGAACAAAAGAGACAGCATGAGTGATGCGAGTGGTGCAGTCGGATGCTACAGCAAGGCTCTGCAAGGGAGATTACAGCAGAATAGGAAGGCAGAGGCCCTTCTGAAAGTCTTTACAGCATCAGAAACAGCTCCAAAATTAAAACAAATTTTCTTGAACACTAAAAGCCCGTGTCAGTCTACGCTGACTGAGAAGAAGATAGATATACAGATTTCGTTCCCAGCACTTTCTTTTTACAGAAGCTTGGTTGCTATGTAAAAAGAAGTATGGATAATCTGGATACCCCAAAGGGATGAAGGAGGTGAAGTATCTGTATCTTTGACAATGAAGAAAATAGATCTTATGGGTTTGAGTTTTTACATCTGTTTTAGTTTTGAATTTTTTTTCCTTCCTTCCTAAATAACTTATATGCCAGGTTTGAAAAGGAAATAAAAACAGATTTTTAATCTAATCTCTGAATTGGATGAGAGTCAAAGTAATTCCAAACCTGTCTTTGACAGTGGCCAAGAGCAGGAGCCAAAGTAGAGAGCAAAGGAACAAAGAAAAACATGAAGTGAGGACCTGCATGAGCATATTTGGCCTTCCATAGTTTTGGGACATCCTGAAGAAAATTTAGCACAGCTTTGTCTGGTGCAACAACTCTTCACTTCCTCTCTTTCTATTTAATTATACTACTTGCTTTTTAGAAAGATTTTTACTTTCAGCAAAAGAAAACCCATACCAAGTCCATATATTTAATTTTGTGGTATGTGAAAAAGTATTTACATTTTATTTAAACACAGTGGTTTTGTTGTTGTTTTGTTTGGTTGGTTGTTGTTTGTTTGTTTGTTTTAATTAGGTGGCACATTTTAATTTTTGTATGAGGAAAATTGAGCATTCATAGCCAGGTGACCATCTCTGTGCCCCCTGATCATCTTTGTGGCTCTCCACTGGACCCTCTCCAACAGCTTTACATCTTTCCTGTATTGGGGGCCCCAGATCTGGATGCAGTACTCCTGATGGAGCCTCATGAAGGCAGAGTGGAGAGAGAAAATCACTTCCCTATCTCTGCTGGCCACCCCTCTTCTGATGGAGCCCAGGATACCACCAGCTTTCTGAACTGCAAGAGCATGCTGCTGCACATGTTTGGTTTATGAGGACTCCCATATCCTTCTCCACAGGGCTTCTCTTGAGGAGTTCTTCTCCCAGTCTGTATATACATCTGGGATTACCCTGACCTAAGTGTAATACCTTGCGCCTATGTTGAATCTCACTAGTTTCACACGAGCCCACCTTTTGAGTTCGTCCAGGTTCTTCTGGATGGCATCCCTTCCTTCTAATGTTCCTGCTCAGCTTCGCATCATTGGCAAACTTGCTGAGAATGCACTTGAGCCCGTCACTGGATGAAGATGCTGAAGAGCACTGGTCCCAGGTCAGACCCTGGGGGACATTACTCATCACCAGCTTCCACCTGAACATAGCACTATTCATTATGTATATTCACTATTATAATAGTACTAATAATATTCACTATTCACATTTTTGATCTGATATAGCACACCTACAGCACCATATACTCCTTTACTGGATGCACCTCCCCTTTAGGTTTGTTCACAAATCCAAAGAATTCTGGGTTTGTGAAAAATGTCTTCTTCATCCCAGAAAAACAAAGCTAGGATTCCCTTCCCGTGATGAGTGTGAATACATGAATATAGCTGGTTATTAATTTGCCACTACCTATTCTCTTGGTGTAACTTAAATATATAATTAATAACCTTGTAACTAATTCAGTAAATAGATTACATACTACGGTACGTAACTCAGCATTTCTTTTTCTTACTTGCTTTAGGACCTCGAATGAATGCTGCCAAAATCTTTCTGCCCCTTCCCTTAGGCTGTCTGCCAGAAATACACAGTTGCAGCAGTTCAAGATTTCTCTCTAGTCTAAGCCCACATTAAACTTTGAACCAGCATATGACCTGGTCTCCTCCAACTATACGGCTTTTAACTACTATCTCCTCTCTGCATTATGGAAGATATACATTGATGGCACGCATCCTGTTCCAGCCACTGTGTCATGGCTAGATTAAGTGCCATTTTAAAAAAGTCACTCTCAGGACATGACAGCTGGCAGAGTGACCTCCTAGAGAGGACAAAAAGGGACAACAGGGAAATATGCTTGTGTGCAGCGCTCACACTGTGGAGAGCTCAGGTTTCAGTGAGAGGTTCCCTTGAACCTTTGATACTCTGGACATAGATAAGGACATTAAGGCTCTAATGAGACATCTAGCTTCTGTGCACACACATAAACTCGATGCAATCAAAGGAAAGTAGAAGATAGTCAGGCTGGAACATCATTCAGTTGTGTAAAATGCTCCATTAACAGTAGTCAGCCTAGTTATTTAGATGTCCTTTAACAATCTTGACTTTCTACATACATGGAAAAACAAAAGCAATATACAACAAAGCATCTTTTCAGAAATAAGTAGAAAGATTTTTTGAAAGAAGTTCCACAAACAAGTCAAAGACCATACCAAAATCTGTAGAAGAGGACAGGCTTGTGTCAGCATTAAAATCCAGCAGAGCCTCCACCTCCTGCAGCAGTCTGCTCAGCCTTCTACAGCATCAGAAGACAACTGTAAATTTACCTTTCCTTCAGAGAGACTACATGCAACGGAGGAAGGCAGGGAAAACATTGTGAACAACTAATCTTGCACCTCTTTTTACACAACTTATCTGTACCACAGATTAAACCATTTACTTCCTCTTCTTCAGTAAAGCATTATAATCCAAGAACTAAACAGAAACAAGATGATCTTGACTGTTTCTTCTACTGTAAGAAGAAAATTAAATCACTCTAACAGATCAAAGTGGTTACTAAAAACCTTGAAAGAAATTCGGAAGACATTTTGAACAGAGAAATATCCAACCAGATGTTTTTCTCAGTAATAACAGCAGACTTATGTTTTTAGTATTCTTCATTAAATACAATTTTGATGAATTTTCTGCATACATAATAACCGAAGCAAACAAAGGTAACTTCATTGATCAAATAACTGGTAGATGTCTCACCATGTACAACTGAATAAAAATCAGTCACTGAACAGTTCAGAGATTGTCAGCAGAGAAGATAGACCATAGGGAGGTGAGTATTTTTTACAGTTCAGGAGCTTCCATTCCTGAACTTGCTTTGCAATTCTGAGCACACTCAGCTGACCTCCATTTCAGTTCCCTTTATTACCCAGTGAAAGTAACAGAGGTTCCCTCCCACATATGGAAACACTGTGAAGAACAAACGTAAATCCACTAAATAATATGAGGAACTTGGGCTGCCCAGCTGTTGTGACTACAGTCTCCAGGCACCACGAAAAGCAAGTAGACCCCAATAGAGGTCAATCCACCTCAGTATCAGCAGTTAACCTTTCAACCAGATACACTACAAAGATGCAAAAACTACTAATTGCTGACCAAAGTCTCATGATTTTAAGTTAGTAAAGATCACAGTGTCATAGTTGCAATTACACAGAATTGAGCTCTCAATGTGAGACCAGAAGGCATCTTCTCGAAGAAGTCCTTTTGGTCCGGGTGGCACTGTGTTTTAGTTGCCAGGAGCTGCTACATAACAGTGTTAATGCAAAATATTATTGTCAGCAATTTTCCTTAGGAGTTTATGCAGTGTCCACTTACAACCCCTAACAGCAGAGCCCAAGGACAGATGTAAACTTCCCAAATGTACTGGTTTATCTTCTTTAACAAGAGTTTCCCACACCGTCTACAGCTTCCAAGCCTTTACAGAATGAACTTATGTTCCCTTTCCAGAGAAGTTGGGTGGCATAGCACAATCCACATGTTCAAATTCTACTTTCACTACACACTGTCTCAAGAAAGCATTTGCATTTCTCCCCCTCCACAACCACCCATTTAGTAATTTCAGACATTGTTAGATAATAAGGGAGTTTCCCCAGCTCACCTACTGCTTTCCTTTCTCTTCTTCCCTTACATCCTCCAAGCTGATGAAGCAGGGAATGTGGATGAAGCCCCAGGAAGCCTATGTGAGGAAGAGCAGCAGTCCTTGCTCTGCGTTTGCCAGCAGTGATGCAGAGCTCCCAGCCTCAGCAGAGAGATGAGGCAAGAGCCAGTCTGCCTCTAGTGCCTGGGGATGCTCCACACCACAGGCAATTATACTTCTGCTTGCCTATTCTCTTCAGAGAGACAGAAGGAAAAGGCAACTCCAGACAGACACAGATGATGCTGTGTTTTCTCTCCTCAGACCTAGTGGCATTCCCTTTCAAACTCTTCAGAGTAAAAGATCATTTTTTATTTGCTGTCCTTCTTCCAGAGTCCCGAAATCCTTGATCTTAGAACCTCTTCCAAGCCCAAAGCAGCTCAGTCCCTGTTGCAAGTGTGTCAGATAAGCAGGGAGCTTGCACTAGGAGTTTGCTCTGTTGTAGGCCAAGAGTGAGAGGACTGGAAGAGAACTGGCATACCAATGACTGTATAAGATCTAGTGACAAGTGGCAAATGTCTGGGTGGCTTTATAAGCATCAGTTTATTTGCTCTAGCTCAAGCGTTGCAGAGTGCATTACAAATTTCCTATGGCTGCTTCCCAATTCAGCATTCATCAAACAGCCAGCACCCTCAGCCAGGATTAAGGCCTCATCCTGATAGGTACAAAAAGTGACATCATCCCATCCCAAAGCCCTGGCAAAGATAAAGAAGGAGTTAGATGATAGCGTTGTTCCTGGAAGGGGAATAAACAAATCCAACCATGCCCCCTCTTGGCCTCTATCAAAATAATGATTATGTGAAAGGGAATGCTTAAAGCCTTGACTGTGTGCAACATGTAAATAAAAATCAAGACTCATATCAGGAAGATGTTTAGCTAAGTCTAAGCTCCTGCATGTAATAATTTTCTTGCCTTCTGATTAGAGCCAAGAAAATGGCTTAGCATTTTTCTTCTTCTCTAATCTAATAGCCTTTTTAAATGTTTTTCCTTCCTCCTATCTTTCCATTTGTCTTTATTTACATAGACACACCAGTGTGGTAAATTTCAGATCTGTAATACGTGGCTTTCTGACTTGGGGATTATTCTGAAGGAGTTCTCATGTGGCTGTTACTCCAGCTAGATATTTACACACGTACCCCGTGAATAGCTTTTACTTATGTGCATGGGCAAGAGCTCTGCATAGTTCACATAATTTTTCAGAGTCAACATGTGTTTCCGATCATTACAGCACATTGAAAATATGTGCCTACCAAACACATTTTAAATGTATTTATACAAAACAGTATGTGGTTACCCTTGAGGTGTTTTCTATATATAGAAAAGCTGAAGCTTAAACTTCCTGTTCCCATTTTCTCCCTTTGGAATCTCCTCTCATTATTCATTGTATCCAGGTTTCCATTACGATTCAGATGTACATTATTTTTCACAGGCATTGAATCAACTCAGATGTGAATTCTGATAACACGCTTATGTATGATAAAACAAAAGACTATCCCCTAAAGAGACATCTGGACTCTCATTTTTCAGTTGGTTCAACAGGATTGGTTGTGCAGGAGTGAGAATCATTCTTCTGCTCAGTATCTTACTGAGAGATCACAGCTGAAAGTTGTTCAGTGTATCAAAAAAGTGTAACTATACATGACTATGAAAGTTTGTTACCATTATATTTATCATAAATTTATTTTAAAAAATTTTCCTAAAAAAAAAAAAAAAAAATCAATCTTGCTCACCAAAGCGTTTTTAAATTTTTACTACAAAGTCCTTCTTATAATTTTGTTTTATCTTGTGGATGAGGCCAAAAAGTCTTTCTAAAAGTTCTTCCTGATGGGAAACCCAAAGCTATTTCTTTATAACAAGTTTCACATCCTAACCGTGCAATGAGCTACAAGCACTCTGTCAGTCAAACTACTAAACCATGAAGGTGAAGAGTCATGGCAATTCTTGATTACTCCACAGCATTGAAGTTGCTATTCTTGTAAGTCAGTATAAGAGTTAACAAGATCTTGCTTTTCTTAGTGCTGGGATACCTGACGGCACAGGCAGGTGGCAGCAGTCCTAGGTCCTGGGCTCAGAGCTCATAAATTCCCAGTTAACAGCTCTGGGATATCCTTCCTCTTCCTAGGAAACACAAAGTATGTATGAGCGCAGCCTGAGGATACAAATACATTGAAAATAGATGACTTTGGACTAATCTAATGAACTCTAGCTGTCCTCTAGAAGTCAATAATGCTACATAAATGGATTTCCACACTTACAAAAGCTTGCAGGACCAAGTCCTCAATTAAGTAGATGCCACAAGTCTTGCTATTATTCAGATTTACAGAAGATGATCTATACAACTTCACACGGCAACGTTCTTTCTCATCTTTACTATCAAGTGGATTTTTACTGACATCCTTTGTATGAATATCGGCATTCATCCACAGGAGAAATAAATCATCTTTATACCACTGTTGAAGTCTGTCAGAGAGCAGAAAGAGACCCACATATCTTAGCTAGCCAATCAAACTCCAAGAAAAATAAATAAAAAGCAATGGAACTAGACGTTTCTGAAGGACTTGTAAATCAGACTTACAGACAAGATAATTCAAGATTCAGTAATTTTATGCAATCCATTTGAGATAAAATACAAGAGACGGCGGAGCAGGCCAGCAAATCCAAGCTGCTAGTGACCACTCACACTTCCTGAAAAACTGTGTTAACTCAGTACTGTGTTCTCTTACAGCAGTCCATGAAAGACTAACCACCAAAACAGTCAAATGGCAAACATAATCTGCTCACACGGTGATATTTCATAAAATGCTAAATAATACAGCAACAAAACATTGTCAGAAATTCCCAGTGAGAGAAGAGGATGCATAGATCCATCTGAAATAAACTTATAGGAATTAGAGCATGCTGTATGAGCAATCCACATTTGTGTTGACACTGACCTCGTGCTCTCATTAAAAACTCCCATCTTGGTCAAAACCACCAGGAGTTCATGTAGGGTTACTGGCCAGGGTTACAAACAGGAGATCCTGCAGTTTACAGAAAAGCACCAGATCTCTTCAACTGGGCCACCAGTGTCTTCATACAGTCTCTTACGGGGTCACATAAAGGATGCAAGCATTTAAAAAAAAAAAAAAAAAAAAAAAAAGGTATTGCACCTAACAGAAAGATTTTCCCCTCCTCCAACCTGCTGAATCTTCAGGCTAACATTATAGGCACAGTGCCTGAGGGCACCACTGCTGAAAATATCAATCAGTGTCAATTTCAGAAGTGAGGAGGCCTGATTTTCAGCCTCTGTGCTGGCTTCCCATGCATTAATAAGATGTTGTGTGGATTAACCTTGCAGACATCAAACATGTTTCGATGTGGGGAGTCGTCTTTGCTCTAATTTACAGAGCTCATAAAGGATCTTCAGCAACACTCCAGCTCCTCCAGTCACAGACCATTCCCTGTCATAGCTTAAAGGAGGTACTACAAAGAGCAAGGCCACCTAGATGATGCAGGGAGCAGAGCAAATCTATGAGAAAAGACTGAAAGAGCTGGGCCTTTTTAGCCTAAAGAGGAGGCTTAGGAGATTCTTATGTACATATGCAGATACCAGAAGGGAAGGTGAAATGAGAGTCAGGCTCATTTCAGTGGTTCCCAGTGCTGGGACAAAAGCACTAGGCTTAGTGAGCACAAAGTGGAACACAGGAGATTCTCTCTGAGAAACAGGAAACGCTTGTGTATTGTGTGGGTGATAGAGCAATGGCAGAGGTTTCTCAGAGAGACTGCAGAGTGTCCTCCTTGGAGATCTTAAGCCATAGGGGGGCTGGACCAGATAGACCCAGTAGCTCCTTCCAACCTCAACCAGTCTGTGACAATGCTTACTCTACCTCCAGCTATGCAAACAGGGCCCATCAGCTGCTGCAGCCACTACCTGAAAAGAGAAGAGCCCAGCAAAGGTCTGTGGACACTGGGAGGACAACAAACCAACTCAGAAGTTCTCCTGTAGCCAAACTCTAGAATATCACAGAATTGTACGGGTTGGAAGGGACCTCCAGAGACCATCAAGTCCAACCCCCCTGCCAAAGCAGGAATAGACCCTCTCTCACTCATTGACTCTCACCACAGACTCAAACAAGGGGCTGTTTGCAGTGAGGGTTTTATTATCTTATATACTTACCATGTTTGACACTTACTTTAAGTTTAAACTGGAAAAATCATAACATTTATGTGAATTTTTATCCAAATCTGTAAATTAATTGGAAAAATACGCAGGAATTTGAAGTCAAATTCACAGCTAATGAAACTGAGCTTGACTGTGTCTAGTTTAACCCATTCTTGGAAGCCCATAATTTGCTTGCTGCCTGGTGTTACAATTTTAATCCATAACAATCATTTCTTTTCCTATTCATTCTGATTAGGATTTCTTGAGAATATGAATGCATTGTTAAGACGGAATTGAAATGAAAGATTTTTTTTTAAAAGGGTTAAATGGCGCCAGATAGTCTGCAATCTGTCAAGGTAGGCAAACAAGGGGGAAAATAAAAAGAAACTCCACCTTGTAAATAAGGCAATTGCAAATCCAGTTTCTACAATCTGGAACAGAGCCAGCACCTAAGAGAGAAGGATTGAGAGGAAAATAAGTTGTAAATTCCTCCAAGGTAAAGTTCCTGCTTAAAATGCAAAGACAACCAGTTTTAGGAAGGTCATGAAGTCACACCAGGTTTTCTTTGAAGTTCAACTTTAAATGTCAATTTGACCCCTTTTTAAAAGGGGAGGCAGACACAGCTGCACTCCAAGTGCAAGAAAAAGAACAACAATGATTAACATTATGCTCTGCACTGAAAGTTGTTAGACAGCCAATGGGGCAGGGGAGAGAACCACAGAAAAAAAAAAACTTTCAGGACTTTTTACTCTTACTACAGGCTCAGTTAAAGGAAAGGGGCAAAAAAAGCAAGAGAAATATATCTCTTATACAGGTGTAAAGTTGCCTTTCGTGTAACTTGCGTCAAGAATTTGACTTGAGCCAGATTTTTTTCCTTTCCGTGTTAATGGGACTTGCTGTGCTGTCAGGGAAACGTGGCAACTGGCAGATCTATGCCTTGACTTTTCAACTATATGCTCTTCTGAAGAGGCGTAGCAAGAGCTAACAAGTCCTGCAATTTCATCTCTGAGAACTTTTACTGAAGAGTAGTTTAAATTTGAGCAGAATTAGAAATGAATGTGTATACAAACATATACCCACAAATGTACACATGTAAATGCACTCAGCATATTGCTAAGCAAGTTCCACTAAAACTAGGAAGATAGACTAGAAGATTCACTTGATTCTTCACATTTTATTGATAAATTAAGTAGAGTATGGGTATTCTGACTAGCAGGTGGGGAACTGAGGCACAACGTGGTGTCAATAAACCAAGAAGCAAACCGTTCCTTCTCATGATTTTTAATTGAAGGTTAGTTGAACTCTGGCACACTCCACTTTCAACAACTACTGGCACCAGAAACAAAAAGGCATAATTTCATTAATATATTACTGTAGTCCATCAAATAATCATCACTTGCATTGCCCAGATATATTGCCAGAGGTAATGAACACACAT